ACTCAGCTTTTTGTAGAAAAAATTCTTTTGAGCAAGACACTGACTTCTCAGCAAGGTGCTTGGGTGAGTTGTAGAGAAAATGATGCCGAGGCTTTGTGGGCCTGTGTGGGTCCAGCAACATTGCAGCCCTTCCCTGCACTGACTTGTGTTGTCCTGAGCCACTTGAGTTGCTGTCCCAGGCGCTTGCTGGGAGAGCGCAGGTATTCTGATGCTGCGCAAGGTGTGTAGCCCTGGGGATCTTCTCTCTGCTCCCTAGGCAGGCTGACTTGTTTTCCAAACCTGTAGGAGGCTCTCCAGGGTTCAATCTTAATTGGTGAGCAGCATGTCCCAAAGAGGAAGAAGTTTAGTCTTGAGTCAGAAAGAAATGTAGCATGGCAGGAGTTCCCAGTGGCTGGAGCTGCTATGTAGCGCTCTCTGTGCCCACAAAGGTAGGGGGAAAATTCAATCAGTGCACCTAGAAAAGCCCAAGAAGCTCCTGATTACTCCAGATGCCTCTTGGCAGGCTCCTCTACCATCCTGCAGTGGCTGCTTGCACCGGGAGAGGTAGACATGTCCGCTGAGCAGGGTTGTAACTGATCTGGGCTCCTCTTCCTGCTGCCTGCTTGTTAGTCCTGGCTTTGGGCTTCTGCCCAGGTGCTCGTAACCTCATCTCTCCCTGACTCCTGGTTCTTGCTGCACTTTGTGATGGGGAGAAGGGCTCTTAGAGCTGAGCAGCAGAGCTTTGCCACAGCAATCTTTATCCCTCTATTCATTTCACAGCACCTGTGGCTCCCATTATATTGGGGGTGGGGGTGGGGAATGATGACACACACCCTGCTCATTTCTGCCCCCACTCAGACCCAAGCCCTCTGCCAGCTGTGAAGCTCTCCTGGGCTCTCCTTGCTCCCCTGCCCTCCCAGGTGGGACCATGCTGGGTTGTTTCCATTACAGGGCTCTGCCCATGGAACCCATACCATCCCCACATGCTGCTTTCCTCTTCCCTTGCTGTGCTCCAGGCCCTGCACCGGCAGCTGGCTCCCAGCTGAGGAGCAGTGAAAGCCAGTGTGGCCGGACGTGACCTTAACCTGGGTTTTATTTAGCGCCTTGATTTATAGAGGAGTTATTTTAAAAGCGCATTTCTCTTTTGGGAGGTGTGGTGAGTGTGTGGTGGAGTGGTGGCAGTGAGCTGGAGTTCATAGGTCCTCCCGTGCTGTTGACAAAGAAGCATTTGAGCCCCAAGACACATTTTGCTTGGGGAGATGCTCTCTGGCTTGGTTGGAAAGCACTCCTGTTTGCCTTTGTGCTGGGTGGCTCAAAAGCAGCAAGTGTCCAGGACCTTTCCCGTGAGGGGGATGTGGCAATACTGTTGGAGGCAGGGAAGCCTGAAATTTTCAGTCCCTGGAGGAGGCTGCTTTCTCCAGGACGCTCCTGTGCTGGGCTCCCCCAGCTCTTGGGGGCTGCTGTGGGCTGGCTGAAGTGGAAGAGTGCTGGGGCAGGAGTGCCCTCTCCTTGGATCCTTGTTGGTTTAGCTTGTTCTCCTCTCTGGGCACTGTCCCCTCATCCTGGGTCGCAGAGGTTTCTCCTCATGCCTGCTGGGGGTTGCATCACCTGCTTGAGATAAGGGATGTGGTTTGTAGGTAGGATGGGCTCTAGACTTTGGGTTTATCAGCCTCTGGAATGCAGGATGCTGTCCCCTTCTCTTGCTGTCTTGAGCTGGTTCGTATGAGTTCCCTGTGCCTCCAAACCATGGCTCCTCCACGTGTGTGGCAGCAGGCACTGCCCGCAGGCTAGATGTGTGAGGCTGTCTGTCTGTACTCCAGCATTGAACAGCAGGACCATGTGGCCTCTTGTAGCCCTTGCTGAGGCCCTTTCCTCAGGCCACTGCAATCTGAGAAACTTAATTAGTACAAATAAGCAGCCCCATCCCTAGGGCTGTGAGTTGGTTTAATGAGTCCATGATCGGAGGCAAATCTACTGCTGTTGCAGGCTCCAAGCTCCACCATGTTTCACCCTCTGTGTTTCAAGGTGACTTCTAAGGCTCTGCTGTGTTTCACCCTCCACCTGGGCAGGACCTATCCCTGGGAGACCACCCTGGGTGGGCGGGAGCACCGAAAAGCAGTGTTGCCTCCACGTTCATCTGTGGCACAGGGAGGCTGCTTCCAATCTTGTTCTGTAGCTGTCCGAGGATGCTGGTGCCACAATCATGAGCAGCACGATCGGATATGGGAATTTGCTCCCCTGTTTGGGGCTTTTCATGTGGAATTAGCAGAGACTGGTGAAAACATCTCCTCTTTCTACCAAGTGGTAGGGGTTGAAAGCTTTTCTCTGTTCCTTCAAAGCCTGCAGAGCTGTCGTGGCTCCATGGTATAGTCTAGCCAGAGAGAGATAAAGCCTCTGTGCTACGGAGTGCAATGTTAGCACTGAGCTCTGCAATGGCTACAGGCTATGGTTATTCTGTATTCTACTAAAGGAAGGATAATATACGACTTGGTTTATTTTAACCATATAAAGGATTTTTGATTCAGTGCCAATGTTAATAATTGTCTTGTGAAGGCTTTGCTAAGGAATGGTGTGAGAACCTTAGAGCAATGCACTGACTCATGTGCAAATATTGACTTCTTTGTTTTATTTGCAATAGTAAATGTAACAAATTTCATTGGGGGGGTTTGATATCTGAAAGAATTTTGCTCAAGCAGAGGAAGAGGTATGGGGGCAGAAGACAGCACAGAACCCCTGCCAGCTGGTTTTGACTGAGATTTTGAACCTGTGGAGGGTCAGAGGGAAATTGTGGTCAAATGCTACCAGCAGTAACACTACTGTGATAGTGTGTCCAAGCACTTGGCTGGGCTCTCTGTGGTGGCTGGTGCCGGGTGGGAGAGCACCTGTGTGAAGGCCAGTTTTATTTGACAAGGGCACAGACGCTTGCTGGGGCAGGTTGGTGTCAACAGAGGTTACTGGAGCTGCACTCGCCTTCAGCTGGCTGCGCTTGGCCTCTCTGTCATTTCACAAGAGCACCGGAGAGGAACGATGTGTAATGTTCAGCGTGTTATAGCAATATTTAGCAATATCATTAATATGTCCAATTGTGAGAGGCTTCTTGTTGGGCTTGGTACCCATTTCCCTGCCCTACAGCCCTCTCCATGCCTTTTTCAGCAAGTCCAGGATACCATGTAAAGGGAAGACTTCTTATTTAGGCTGTCCTTTTGGGTCTGTACAACTCATCCCACAGTTTCTATTGGTCTGCTTTCTCTTCTTGTATTTCCTGAACTCAGCTGAGCCTTCGCCTCACACCCTGCGTGGGGGTGGTCTTGACCAGAACTGTGCAGAATGCTGCAAGCTGTCAGCTCTCAGCAGTTTTCTCTTGACCTCTACAATCTGGAAGTTTTCCTCTGAAGACCTGTTCTTGCAGAGAAGGAAGTGCCTGGGAATTTCCAGGCTTTCCATTTCAATTAATGGAATAAAAGTTGGCGGTTTATATCATTCTTTTCTGGGTGGAAAGAAGCTTGTTTAAAACAGCCCATTTAGGATTAGGGTTAAATGCTTGGTTCTGGCATTCAGCACTTGCAAGTGTGCACATAGGCCTCCTGCTTTTTGAGTCCTTGGGTCAAGAATATGAAAAATAGCTCCTTAACCTCTGTTTATCTGGTTGCATTGACTTTGAGGGGTATTGCAGGAGGCAGCTGGTCTCTCAGAAGAGTTGCAAACACTTGAGGAGCCTGCTGCCATTTAGCCTTGCTTGTTGCTGACATCAGGAGAAACAGCAGAAAAAGTAATGAAGCAGTGCCAGGCCATGGGCAGTGTGTGGTTTGCCGGTCACCTGTGTTCTCCCAGCTCAGTGTAGGCAGGGATTGTGGAGGCATTGCCTGGGCATCCTCATCTCTCCTGTGCAATCCCGCAGGCTGTCCTAGAAGACAGCTTTACAACAGAGCAGGGAGTTTATATTGTGCTAAAAACACCTGACCCTCTACAGGAGGAATTTAAAGATCATTCAGCTGGGTAGCTGCGAGAGATGGAACGGCTTGCGTGAGGAGCATAATCTCTGCTCTGGCTGCAGGTTGGTTTAGGCTTCCTCTGAGACTGTTGCATTTTCTCAAGCCAGTGGAGGTATCTGGAGCAATGAACGTCCGCTCCCTCGGAGCGGAAGCAGCGAGACGGTTTGCTTCCTCCTGATCCCTTCATCCTACTGGTCCCCCGTGGCAGTGTAAGCTGTTGTGGCACTGCTTTGTTTAACTTTCTCTCCCAATCTTGCTGTGGGACTGAGGTATGTTTTCAGGCATGTCCATGCAGCTGTTCCTGTTCTGCAGGAGGCTGTAGGGCTTCTGGGCCAGCGGCTGAAATGTTTTCCTTGTCTCTAGTGAAGGGAGGTGGATTTAGATCAGATGAGGATCTGGCCAGACACCTGAGTAAACTTTCATTTGGTTTTGTAGCAAAACTCACTCCCACTGGCTGTAAGTTAGCCAGAGGGGTCCCCTCTAAAATAGAAAGGAAAGGAGGGACCCTGGTCCTCTCCCCAGATGCGTACAGATTTTTTTTTATTATTATTTTTTGGCAAGCTCTCTTGATTTACACCCATGCAATAGATCAGGCTTTGGCCTCTAGCACTGGAATTGGTCCTGACACTGTGGGCAGGCTCTGGCTGGCAGGCTCTTCTGAATGACGGTGGAAACAGGGAAACCATCGCCTCCAATCCCCGGGCAGGAAACGGGCATCTTGCGTATCGATGTGCGGGCTCAGGCACCAAAGGCAACCCTGCTCACATGCAGTCTGTGGATCCTGTTGTGAGGCATCTCACTGCAGAAAATTCCTGGCTCCCAGAGTGAGCCTTTCATGAGAGGCAAACAGCTTTGAATAATGAGGAATTGCACTGGTGAGCAGCTTTCCCCAGTACCAAACAACTCTGGCAGCTTATTCTGTGCAGGGACTTCAGAGCGCAGCAGGCCGAGGAGCTTCAGCCCAACTGTTGCCCCTGCAACTCCCCTTAGCCCATGGAGGAGCGTAACACTGGGCTTTAATGTACCCGAATGCTGGCTGGCATCTCCAGCCCTGGGTATCCGAAACATGAGGCCTGCCAAGCTGTCCACCCCATGATACTCTCGCTCGCTCGCACGCACTCACGTGCTGCGGTAATGGTTTAATAGCAGCCCCACCCAGCGCAGTCAGGAGAAGGACTTGCTGCGTAAGCAAAAGCTGGGAAATCTCGCCGCTGTGCACAGCATTCTGCGAGCGCTCCACTCGCGTTTTGGGAGAGCTTTTTTTTTGTTTACCTGGAATCATCAGTGCCAAAAGAAACTAGAAAGGACAGCAGTTTGCTCCTTTGATCTTCTCTTCTGCATTTGGAGATGGCTGCGCTCCTGGGTGTAGGGCTCGTCAGGGCACCGGGGCGTATTGTGCCGTGGTACCGCTAACACTTTCTCTCTTGGCAGGACTCAGAGTCGCTGGACGGTTGCATTCAGAGTACGTTATCAGCACTCTACCCTCCGTTTGAGGCTACCGCAGCCACTGTTCTGTGCCAAGTTTTTGATGTGGTGGAGAAGACGTACCGTGGGGATGGACTGCGCTACCTCATAGACTTCCTGATTCCAGCCAAGCACATCCTGCA